TTATTATATAATCCTTAAACAATGGATACTTGTTACATCAAAACGTAATATTAAGAACATGCGTCCATCATAAGATAATCGAGCTTAACCTTTCCTTTCTTCCTTCACGAAGCTTGGTCCATTTTGAGAGTCGACTTCTTCCTCTTCATCAGCCTCTTCATCAGCTAGGTGGGCAAGAGCCTCTCTTTTCCAAGTGTTGAAAGAGATTTTTGAATCTGTGTCGCTGTCTGAATCATCAGGAATACTATCCACAAGGTAGTTGTCAATAAATGCTTGAAAACGTTCTTCAAAAGTTGGATCATTCAGATCCTTCTTCAGTGCTCCTAGATCTTCCTTTGGTATTTTGGCAAGGGGTTTTCGGAACTTCTTTGACTGTTTGTCTTTCTCAACATTTTTTGTTTTTTTTAGAATCCATCTTGCTAAAGATGAGAAGGTGTACAAAATGTGTACACCAAGGCATACTGTCTTTGTGCATATTACGCATCTTAAGGTTTAATATCGAGCAAGTTAAATGTTTAATCAATGCAGGTTAAGGTATAGAAACACACTGAAGTATACATATACGCATGTTAAGTGTAGATGTAACGCACATTAAAGCAATACGGTCCGTGAGATATATAATTGCTATTCGCTTTATTTACTCGTTTACATGCGTTTATAAACCACACAATGTGCATTACCTAAGTGTTAAATGATAATTTTATGTGGTATGCTTACACAACTATAAATCTTTTATTTAAATACATATAGTTCTGACAACGAGATAGACATATCACTTACCTTTAAAATAAGTGACAAGTCCATTTTATTGTCAGCAATTTTTTCATTTCCCATAAAAGAAATGTGTTAAAGTTGAATGGTCATTCAACTCATAAAAAAACGCAACCATTAAATTCTTTTATTTTTTTTGTTTTTTTTTTTGTTTTGTTTTTTGGTTACAAGTCAGTGAGTATACAATCTCATGCATATTTAGACTGAAATACACGCATAATAAAGTATCAATGTGCGCATAATAATGAATAAATTCACGCATATTCGTTTAGAAATACCCCAACGCACATTGTGATATTAATATATGCATTTCAAATTATTTTGTTGCACATATTAAGTTATACAAACACGCACACTGTACAAGTGTTTATTCACATAAACAAGTCTACTATCTCTACAACGAATCTTTCATAGTTTCTAACAATGTAACGAGAATTAAAAATGGAAGGAAAATATTTTAAGATTAAAGGTAAATTAAAAACGAAAAAAATAAAAAATTACTTGAAGTATACATATACACATGTTAAGTGTAGATGTAACGCATATTAGAGCAATAAGGTCCGTTAGATATGTACTTGCCATTCGTTTATTTACTCGTTTACATGCGTTTATAAACCACACAGTGTGCATTGTCTAAGTGCCAAATGACAATTTTATGTTGTATGCTTACACAACTACAAATATTTTATATAAATTTTACAGATTTCCCTTACGGGAAATACGTATAGTTCTGACAATGAGATAGACATATCACTTACCTTGGAAATAAGTGACAAGTCAATTTCGATGTCAGCAATTTTTCTATTTTCCATAATGGGAATCTGTTAAAGTTCAATGGTCATTCAATCCTTAAAAAAATGCACCCATTAATGTTTTTTTTTTTTTTTTTGGTTACAAGTCAGTCAGTATACAATCTCATGCACATTAAGAATGAAAGACACGCATAATAACGTGTTAATGTGCGCATATTAATGAATAAATAGACGCATATTTGTTTAAAAATCCCCGCACACACATTCAAATATTAATATACGCATTTTAAATTATTTTGCTACACATATTAAGTTATACATACATACGCATTCTAACAATGGAAAGGGATTTAAAAATGGAAGAAAAATATTTCAATATTAAAGGTAAATTAAAAATGAAAAAAAAATTATTTGAATAATAATATCCTTTATCACAATAGAAAGCGGATTCTTCAATGGGTGCGTTTTATTAGGCGTCGAATAACCAATCCATATGTAATTCAACCGCTAAAAAAACGCACCCATTAAAGGAAACTTATAAAAATGTGAGGTAGTTGTCATTCACGTACATTAAAATCTTAACTAACGCACAATAATGTATAAACGCACGCACCCTGTACTGATATTTCGACCACATTATATAGAAATGCCAAGCACATTAAACGTGTGAACGTCAATTTATTTTTAAGTTCACAAAATGGTCAACATTGAATTTCTCCAATCGGTGAATTTAACCAAGTTATTCGCCTATAAAAGTGGAGGATCACCTTACCGTACAACATATATATTGAAACGGTGTCAATTGAGTTTTCCACACCATCACCAAAACCACCATCATTTATTCATCGTCATTTTCTTCACATTCATCATGATGTATACCCATCCTCATCATACTCGCCCTCCTTCTACTTGTTGTCATTGTAGTTGATTACAATAACAACACATTCTAATCATCCCCTAGATCAAATACAATACCACAACCCTCGAAGTTTCTATGAGTAGGTAAAGGAACTATGAGCGAAGCAGACATACTTTGAGTAGAGCTCGTAGGTGGTTCTCGTTGTTTTCATCTAAAACAGCACATTTTAAGCCTGAAAAGTTCTTCTTCTGTGGATCTAAATGCTAACTGATCCGGATGTATTGGACTGTTCGGTATGTTATATTCAATTTAGAGATCAACCAGGTGTGTTTGTCTGTAAGTTGAATATAACATGTGGGGCAGTCCAATACATCTGGTTTAGTTTGATTTTAGATTCATATGAGTTGATCTTTTCAGGTTTATAATGTGTTGTTTTAGCCCGGATATACGGAAGGATCATCTACTCCTTTTGGAGATATATCTTTTGGTACCTTAATGCATGCTTAACCAAAAGAAATATCTCCAAAAGGTATAGACGGATGCTGTCGTTGGCTTTTTTTGTTTTTTTTTTTTTTTGTTATTAAAAATAAGCTCTCATGTCCGCTTCATTAGGTTTGTTGGTTGGTGTTGTTTCAGATAATTAGTGGGATGTTCCTTTATTATTATTGTTGTTGTTGTTGTTGTTATTATTATTATTATTATTATTATTATTATTATTATTATTATTATTATTATTATTATTATTATTATTATAGTTATAGTTGTAGTAGTAGCAGTTGAAAGTGTAAATTATTGCAATGTAAATAATAAATCTTTTTGCATTGTATTCACTTTTTTTGTTTTTTTGTTTTTTTGTTTTTTTTTTTTTTTGTTTTTGATAATGGTTAAATAAACAAGCAAATCCGAGTACCATGAGCCTAAAATCAATGGACGTTATTTAATACAAAAATCCAAGCGCATTAAGACTTTTTTCAAGCAAATATAAGCTATTAAAAAATGCACATTAAAACCAAATTCTACGCACATTACAATGTCCGGAAAAAACACCCAGATTTACATATTTTATAAAGCACATTATGTTACTGTATTGCACATGTTAAGCTTTTTGGTATTTGTCACGAAATAAAGTTTTAATATATAAAACAACGCACATTTTGTTGTCGTATTACGCATTTTAAGCATACGTATTGCATTTTAAATATATTCTCTTTTTTTTTTTGTTTTAATTTTCAAGAATTGTTGTTGAGTTTCCGAGTGTTTAATATTTTTTATATAATGAAAGTAATGGATGTAAAGCAGTTGGCATTCACGATTGAATCCCCCTTAAAGACTTGATTTTTTTTCATGGTGAAATTGTAGAAGTCTTTAAACATGTTAATTCCGCTCAAGATTGAATCCCCCTTAAAGACTTGATTTTTTTTTTAACGTCGCGCATGTTAAATGTTAATAAACGCAGGTAAAGCAGTTGACATTCACGACGGATCAAAGTTTTTACACATAAACAAAAAGCACAGTCTGTTTAAGTGTTACGCATATTAAGCCTGAATGTAGTGCACGTTAAATATATTCTTTTTTAATCTGGAGAATTGTTTTTCTGGTCTACAAGTGTTAAGTCTAATGAAACGAATAGATGAGCCCACTAGCCAAATGGTATAAGTCTTTGAATATATTGATTATGTTTGGGATCAAATCCTTATTAAAGACCTAATTGTTTTTTTTTTAATAAAGAATGGCAAAGTATTTTCTTTGTTCAGGTTTCGCATATTAAGGATTAATGTCGCGCAAGTTAAATGTTAACCAATGCATGTATAGCGTGTTACCATTTTACCACGGACCAAAGTTCTTATACATAAATCAACGCAAATTCTGTTTCCATAGTAGTAGGCTCATTAAGCCTTAATGTAGCTCACGTTAAATGTGTTATCAACGCATGTTAAGCCTTTGGCATTTAAATTTTTTTTTCACTTTGTGTCAAGTCATTGTGCAATAGTATAACTAATGCACGTTAAGAATTAACTGCACGCAAGTAAAGTATTAATGACACAGTTTAAGCTAGTAGCAGTGATTGTTATACACAAATCAGTGATAAAAACAAAACTAGTAATTGCTGAACATTAAATTGAAGTATCTCAAATGTAAAAGCATTCTAAAATGTGTTAACTAAGTATTTGTGTTTCATATTTGCTATTTATTTTCATTCTCAATTGTAAAGGCATTGTAAAAATAGATTGCTATGCCTTTTTCTTACCCTTTTGTTTGTCCTTATTTTTGGGGTTAAATGGGCAAGTCCTGGTGTCATGTTGATCTCCTCTAACACCACCAAAATTGCACATCCTGCCCTTTTCTTTTTCCATTGCCAACTCCTTGCTGCTTTTGACACGTTTGCCACTGCCCTTGTTCTTTGCATGTTTCGGTGGAAGTATATTGATCTCTGAAATCTCTGTTGATCCACAAAAGGATTCTATAACAGTCTTCCAGCTGTGCTGAGGGGATAACTTTTCCTTTCCTGACATTAGCAGCTGTTTCTGTTCATTAATCACTTGCGAAAATGCAGCCAATTGCTCCATGTTTGAACCTGCTAGATCAATACAACAGTGTACATCTGACTACAGTTTGTTCTACAACATCTTCTTTTCATCCTTTGGTCCATTCTGATCATAAATGACACCATCTATTTCAAATGTAGCCTTTAAAGATGCATCCTTAGGCCACCGATTAACCACATACTTCAGAGGTATCTTTTCAAGGTCTCTAAAGACCACAAATATGTGTCTACAGAACAGTCCAACCATCTCAAATATCTTGCAACTGCATGTGGCCTCATGGTCATTTACATTGTGCACCACACTAAATATTTTATTCTTTCCATCCATAATATCATAGTGTAACATTCCACCATCTTCTCTAACTCTCAACACCATACATTTGAAACAGGAGGCACATATTTCTTCCTGAACTTGATAGAAAATAGTAATGGTGTAGACAATTGAAGCATGTTTTTCGATCCCCAAAGGCATCTTCATATATGGATTGTAGCTTTCATTGTCACGTACTGTTGAGCTTTGCATTAGTGTTACGTTGTGATTTAAGAGCACTGTCAAAGTTCATCATGAACTCAACTAGGCTAGACTGTGGGGGCCAGTAAATCTAGGCTGGTTTAACTCTTTGTCGTCCTTTGTTGGTTAGAACCACAAGACAATGTTTATCTAATGTACACCCAAGTAATGCCAGCGGGTTTCTCTCATCACTTAAAAAAATAATGTAATGGAGCAATAGTAGAAATAGTGAACAAGAAATGTTCTACTCCATATTATCTACTTCCTTACAAATAAAATAGAATTACACAGTAAAAAATTAATGTTGTTGTTATAAATATTAAAAAAAAAACAATATTAGAACAAAATATTCTAGGGTAACCGAACAAAATTATAATTTTAGATATTTATAAACTTGCACTCATATAATAATACTTCTTAGCTTGATTCGGAAATTTATTATAGCATGCATACTGTTAGACAATTTCAGAAATTTATTATAATGAAGTTAACCTGATCTCTAAAATTATAATTATAGATACATCCTGTTCCATTCAGTGAAATGAAAAACACGAGGGTGCTATTGATAATAGTGTCAGACACAAATCTCTCTGAGGCTGCTTTTCTATATCATCACTTGTCCAAGTTCGAAATCAGTCCTTGGATTATTTTGATTCTGATAATAGATTATCCTCAACTTTGGACTGATGCAAGGATGCCATCAGTACGAATAATTACCGGAATAAAGTTGTTGGATCCATGCAAAAGGATTACGCCTCAATTTATTAGATTTGTGAAGGAGAGATGTGTTCCGAGTTTTTAGAGTGGTGGGAAACCTATTGTTATTTCACTTGGCAGTTGTGGAAGACTAGTTCATACTAATGCATTGCAGATGATCCTAACATGGAGAGGAGACCTTGCATTTGATACACTGACGGTTGGTAGTGGAAACAATATCATCTCTTTATTACAAAAAGAGTTAACGGAAGTGACTTTAGGTGTTGGTTCTGTGATTGATGATATTGAGGAGAGAAAACGTGACTTGGTTAATTGCATTAGGATTACAACTGATGATTGGAGAAATGACATTAATATGAGGATAAAAGATTTGGTATGTTTTTCCCACTCATCCTAGCTTTTTGCTAATTAAATGATTTGAGGTATATATTGTTTCAAGTCTAAAAGCTAAGTAATCTTTCTTATTATTAATAAATATTTTGTTATTGATCAGCATTCTTCCTATAATTACACTAGTAAAAATGAAGAAATGCTTTGGGATAAAGAGACATGGAACCCTAAACTTTTGGGTAAAGACGACTCCATGAGACTTCGATCTACTTTTGGTTTTGGGCTATCCAGACACCTATAACATAGATTACTGGATAGAAAATTGGGTAAGTCCATTTTCAAGCGCTTAGCTAACTATAATTGAAGCAACAATAGCTAATATGAAAGGAATAAGTAAACAATTGATTTTAAATTGCATATTGTCCTCACCCTAACAAAAAATTTATTTGAACATTTTGATTCTTAAGTTTTAATTTGTGTTGCGCATTTTATGACCTTGCAATAATTTTTATTATTATTATTTTTGTTTTTAAACAGACTGCAATGAAATATGATATTTTCTTTTGTGGAGGGAATGACGCTAAATGTATTCAAGAATTGGCAACTAAAGTGAAGGAGGTCAATTTCGAAATCCAACTGGATATCAAATTTGCATACATTGGAAATAACAAGAAAGCAAAGTCACTTGTGAAAAATATAGATGGTTATGCACTTAGTTCTAATAAGAGTTAATAACCAAAATGGTCGCTCGACTATGCCATAATTACCAATTTAGTCCTCGATTATCATTCTTACCCAATTAAGTCCTCAACTATACAATATTTACTTAATTTAGTCCTCTGTTAATGTATTTGTTAGTGGGCTGTCAATAATGAGGGCAAAAATGTCATTTTATCACTTTCTTCCACCTCCTTCCTCACACCACTACAATATACTATATACACCAGGCCAGATTATCTCTGATGCATCCCAGCCGTCCTCGGCTTCAACCAGATTATCTCGAGACACCATCCTCCCATTCCTTTGTCACCATTTCTAGTTGAAACACATCTATCGGCTGGTTTCTTATATGATGAGTGCAACTAACGTAACTAATCTTTTTGTGGAACGTAACATTTTGGGGCAGAACTGGCACCCATCCTTCATTATCACTCCGTCGGTAAGACATGGCCGTTAGTTTCTAGTACCCCTGTTAGAGTATTCTCGTGAAATTTGCGGTGGCCTGCATACTCCGTGAGTTCATCAAACCTCATTTTGCATATATCACAGTCATACTGACCTTGGATTTGAGCGTCCACTAGACTATTTGTCCCTGGCCTACAAAAAAATCTCCCCCATGGCCTGCGTCTCAGGTGCGCGCAGAATATGGAACAATCACTGTACAATTACATCTATTATCATTTCCTTCAATTCACGGAGAACATCTGTTGTGAAATCTGGTCGTCGCTGCACAATGATGTAACAATGGCGGCACAAAGATTGAGAATATGAGCTGCAAAGTAGAGCTTTCTGGGACAAAGTGGTTGCACTACAAATTGGGCTAGTAGCTGACCAACTAGGATTTTGGAACAATGAAGCAGTGGTGCTTAAGCGGAAGTGTTGTGTGCGTAAATATATACGTTATGTAATATTCATGAAGATGGTGAAGCCGGAATTAGAACAGACATAGAACAAAGAACTGAAAATTAAATTACTGTGCCCTGTTTTTATAAACACTACCTAAAAGCTTAATAATTTCTGTTATAATAATATTATTATTATAATTATTAAACCAAGTGTGGCAATAAATTGGATTAATGGCATTATCAAACTAAGTATGTGTGTCATGCATGCAATTGGAGGAGTTTAGTTGGAAACGTGGCAATACATGTGGAGAAAGTGAGGCAGTAGTACGTGGATCATGGTTGCAATGCATGGAGCATTATTTTCCCTATTTTCTAGCTTTACTAGTTTATCCTTCACTATAAATAGTATTGTTATCAAGCATTTTATTCATCAATCAAAATCACTTATCTATTCTCCTCTCTCTCTTCTCAATTTATATAAATATAATATATAGATATATTATATTTAATATATATTATAGATATATTATATTATATTTAATATATATTATATTAAATATATTATATTTAATATATCTTACATTTGGTATCAGAGCCAGTCAACCTTTCAACCCCGAAATATTTCCCGTAGTGAAATATGACAACAAATTTCAATATTGTATGGTTGGGTCCCAAATTAGACGGGAAACTCGATTACAATTATTGGCAAATTATGATGTCCACACATTTGCAAGCTCAAAATCTTTGGAGCTTTGTTGATCCCGGTCTACAAGAAGGAGCTGAAGCAGGCGCTATACAGCGAGATAAATTGGCCCTGGGTCAGATTCACCAAGGTGTTCATTATTCCATTTTTGGGCAATTAGCTACTGCTCAAACAGCAAAACAAGCTTGGGACATCTTAAAGGTGTCACACAAACAAGCTAGACCGCCTAGCCGGCTGAACCAGCGTTTTTAATTTTAAATTTTTTTTTTTTTTTTACGTTTTAAATTGCGAAAACTTCGGGAAGGCATAATTTTTTACTCGGTTTTCCGTTTTGGACAATTTTTTTTTCAAATCGCGTATTTTTCGAGATCTATCCACCGCAAACGGCCAAAGGCGGTTTGGTCCACTAATTTCTCAAAAAAATGCTTCTTTAGCTCTTAATTTTAGTTTTTTATGTATTTAGATGGTTTAAACAATCTTTTGAACACTTTTACAACCACTTTCGTAATTAGTTTCTAAGAAATAACTATGGAAACCTTATGTTTTATTACTAAATTTTAAAAAATTTTAATTTTTAATTTTATTTTTAATTAAAAAAATAAAATAATAAAAAAAAAATCGGCGCCTAGGCGCCCTAGGCGCTAGGCGCCCCCTTGGCGCCTAGGGGGCGCCTAGCGTGTTTTGCAACATTGGTTGTACCATTGCAGATGCTTAAGGAGTTTTGATTGCAAAGGTAAATATGTCTCAAAATCGACTATTTCCTTTGAAAATTAAGCATACTCTCCTTGCTTGCTTTAATTATGAAGTTTGTGATGATAATTGGTTATGGCATATGCGGTTTGGGCATTTTCATTTTTCTGGGTTAAACTATCTTGCGAGAAAGGAACTTGTTTCTGATTTACCTGTTGTGAATGTCCCTGATCGTATCTGTGAGATTTGTGTGATTGGGAAGAAGCATAGAGATCCCTTTCCCGTGGGCAAGTCAAGGAGAGCTACAAAACAGTTGGAGATTGTTCACTCAGACCTGTGTTCGTTGGAGGTTCCCTCACATGGAGGTTGTAAGTACTTTATTACTTTCATTGATGATTTCAGTAGAAAAACATGGGTTTACTTTCTGAAGCAAAAGTCTGAAGCATGTGATGTTTTCAAACAATTTAAGGCTTTTGTTGAGAAGCAAGGTGGTTATGAAATTAAAATCTTTAGAACTGATAGAAGTACAGAATATATTTCCTGTGATGATTTTCTGAAAGAGAAGGGTATTCAACACCAAATGACAGCCAGATACACTCCACAACAAAACGGAGTGGCTGAGAGGAAGAATAGGTCAGTCATGGATATGGTGAGGTGCATGTTGAAATCTAAGGATCTGCCTAAGCCTTTTTGGGCAGAAGCTGTTGCTTGTGCTGTCTATGTGTTGAATAGGTGTCCAACTAAAAGTGTGTGTGATAAGACACCTGAAGAAGCTTGGAGTGGGAGAAAACCCTCTATCAAATATCTCAAGGTTTTTGGATGTTTGGCATATGCACATGTGCCAGATTCATTGAGAAAGAAGTTGGATGATAAGGGTGAGAAGTGCATATTCATTGGTTATAGTGACGCTTCAAAGGGTTATAAACTATACAATCCTGAAACTAAGAAGGTTGTTATAAGTCGTGATGTCACTTTTGATGAATATGGTGCCTGGGATTGGTTAGCTA